GCATTTTGCGTAAAATTAAAAATTGACTTTTCAATACCGACCAGATACAATACTGATTTTGGAGGAAGCTCAATAAAAAAAAAAAAAGGCGTTTATCGCGTTTTGGAACCACACTCTTCATATATATATATATATATATATATATATATATCATTTTTAATAATGTTATTATTTACTAAACATAGATGTCTTATAATATTGCTGTTGCACCTATTTTCTAAAAGCTTGATGTTCCATTATTTTATAGTATTTTTTTTTTTACTAATGACATTTATTTTGCATGGCTCTTAAAAGATGTCATTTCCTGTGCCTCTAGGGAGATTATGTCACATATCATTTAGTGCTCCGGTGATTCACTCCAAATAAATTGGAGCAGGTGAGCAAAGATAGCAGAGGACAATTACTCTGAGTGTGAATGTTGAATGTCTCTTTGCAGTTATTACAGATTTTAGCTTCAGACACATTTGTAGCAGCAGCACTGGCGTCTATGCGTGTGTCACAGTAGCCGTCTGCCCGCTGCTCTTTAACCCCTGCACACGGCGCCGGAGCTGTTTCTCAGACTGTTGCTTGGCAACCTGCGCTCCGCTCTGCTGATTGGCAGGCCGTGGCAGCAGGGGGAGTCGGGATGTGTCAGGTCAAGTTTGTGTATTACACTCTTTGCACGGCTTGACCACTCAAATAACAGCCTGCTGCTTAGCTCAGCTAATGTCTCAAACTTTTAATATACTGTGCATTTACAAAACGGATAGTTCTGGTGCTGGATGCTGATTGGTTAATATAGCATCGTGGTCAAGCTAAAGATAATATAGTGATAGCTGTGATGTAAAGTCACTGTTAAGCATCTATTAGCAACTATTACACAGGTTTACATATAAAGGCCTTTTTCTTGAAGCAGAGGGATGACACTTTGATAAAACACTTCCATTTTAATTTAGTTATTTGTGAGAACTCAAATGATTTTAAGCTGTGAATATAATAAATGAAATAATCTATCTGTCTGTCTGTCTAGATGTGCAATTGCCAGACACACATATATATATATATATATATATAAAAAAATTTTTAAGGCACTATTTTATATATTAACTGGTATGTAAACTGGTGAAAAATATTTTTAAACTGATGAAAAATATATTTAATATATTTCGTACTTAATTAATGGCCAATTAAATGCACAGTTAAATGGTTTTTTACATATTTTTCAACTTTTTTTTTTTACAATTTTGAAACATTTTTTTAAAACATTTTTTTAAAGGTAGTATTTAAGTAGTTTAAGGCAATATTTAATATTTTATATAGTTATTTGAACTGTTTAATAATTTAATAACTGGTGAAAAAATATTTTTAAACTGATGATGAAAAAATTATATTTAATATATTTACCTAGTGTTTAAAAACAAGTATTTTCCAGGATACATACATTACTTTATATAATGTACAAATGAATGCACAATTAAGTAATTTTTAACATATATAAAAACATTTTAAACATATTTTAGCATTTTAAAACATATTACTTTAATAATTTGTAAGGGAATATTTGATATTTATTTGAACTTTAGAAATGTAAACAAATGGACGTAATATATAAACATAAATCATCAAAAGAGCTGAATGAAGAATTATTTCTCAATATTCATAGATATCACTAACTTTTAATTGTAGACAACAGAGGCATTGTTTAGATCATTTCTAAAGTTAAAGGAAAGACAAGTGTGACATTTATTGCCTTTTTTAAAGGGATAGTTCACTCAAAAATGAACATCCTGTCTTTTTTTTTTTACACTCGAGCTGTACAAAAGATGATGTTTTGAAGAATGTTGGTAAACAAACAGTTTCTGGTCCCCATTCATTTCCAGAGTATTTTTTCCATAC